GGGGGGATACCTTAGAGTAGTCAGAATGGAGATCAAACCATACAGTTGTTATTTTAAATAAACCAACAAAAGCATAGGGGCGGCTCTCTGTGTAAAAGAGAAAGGGAAAAAAAATACTGACTTAATAATAAAGACAAAATATGGTCAGATAACGCTGATCTTGTCTCTTTTCGTGTATGAAGGCTAAGGCTATCTGAACGGGAAGGCCCTTTACTTTCACCACCACACATTTAAAAGTTAGTAATGGCACTCCCTAGAATATTGCAACAATTGTCTCAAATTCAATACATGATTCGTACTTTCTGTTTCAGTATTTCTTGTAATAACTAATCCTTTCAGCAGGGTCCAATCGTAAAGTTTCCACCCCTATCTGTTAAATAATTTTCATTAATTAAATGTACCTCTTTACTTTTGCATTGTGAAAGTCCCCCGTGTGTTACAAATGTAACTTCAAGCTTACCCACTGTAGGCATTTTCAAAATTTATTGTTGTTCTTTGAAGGGGGCAGAAGTAGCAGGAGGTCGCTAAATGTTGGCGTTCTAATTTTGTCAAAACCATCCAAACTAAGCCCTCAGAAATTGTAAAATCATGCCATTTGGAAATGAATGCAGTCTACAAGCAACAAAATATCAACTCAGTAGATGGAAACGAGATAATTTTTTCCACAATTTAGTTAACAAATCAGATATCCAGAAAGTTGGAATACATGTTGGGGTGATGTTTTGTCGTTATTTCTAAAGCGTAACATTTCCCCGCTTAGCCATCGCTTCCAACTCTTTATTGGTCTATTTTTGTCCGCGTTGAGAAACAGCGACCAGAATCTTCTGAAGCTAAAGACTAAGGTTGTTTTTTTTTACAAAGACTTGAAGATATCAATGTGCTTTTTCGTTTGATCGGTTAATTGATTGTTGGGTTGAGCCAATGACCAAGGAATCGATTCAGTATCATCCCATTACTGGTGGAGGAAGAAGTTACAGCACTCCGACACACGCAACAAAAGAACAGTTAAGAACAAGGACTTATCACTGGCACTCTCTAGATAACCACCCTATTTATTTGAAGAGTTGTATTTGTTGTTATGAAGGTAGCCTATAATATTTATGCGTACCCACCCCCCCTATACAAATGGAACAAAAACAAAACAAAACAAAACAAAAAGCAAAAGCAAAAACTACACCACTCCCACTCCCTTAGACTCTACGAATAATCCCTACCCATCAAAACAAGGGATTTAAATACAAAGAGTACCAACAAACATGCAAGCCTGCCCTTGAAAAACAACAACATCCACATCACATTCTTACCATCACTGCAGTAACTCCTCTCTTATAAGTCAAGAGCATATTCTTGTAGAACCACCAAAGAAAAACACGGTAAATGATCCGATCTCTGGTTTTTCTTAGCAATTGTTTGCACTTACAGCTCTATTGTGAGGCACTTTTATTTATAAAGAAGGCTGAAGGTCTGAATATACTCTGAGAATAGCTTCTCCACTGGGTAGCACTTATTGTCTCGAGGACAGTTCCCTATATCATTTGCTCTCTTCAAGCTTCTCACGGCTGGTCAGACACAAACGAACGAGTGGACAAGTGGACAGACATATAAGTCGAGGGGGGAAGGGAGGGCTAGAACAACGGCGAAGTTCCAGACTGTTGTTCGCAAGTCGTGCGAGGCGAGGCAGATCAGAGACGTAAATGTGGGGTGCCCATTTGTCCGAACATTGATTTTTTGTGGGTGCAGAACTTAAGTAATGGCGACGGCTGTCATGGCTTGGTTTATATCACTGAACTAAAGGGAAGTTTAATTTCTTTCTTTTTTCTGACCGTGTCAAAACAGCACAAGAATCGAATAGCTCTCAAGGGGTGTTGCACATGAAGAACAATAAAATGACATGCACGAGCGAGTCGGAGTTGTTTATTTCGTTGTTGCTAAGGTCCAAGAGACTTGTCTGGCTTTTTGAGTAGTTGCACCTTTAATGGGAAGATTGTTAGATTGATGATAAATTCATTTAGAAGTGAGACAATAGTCTAACAGTGTCTTCACCAAAAAAATAGACAAGGCAGAATGTCGATCATTCGAGAAGTATTTTGACAACATCAATCTGCCAGATATGTTACCCTTTCCGATCATATTTTGTTAATTCGAATATGTATACACCCCATTTAATGCTGTACACGGTAAACGATCTTAGTGCTATATAGCTGTTGGAAGGGTCCTTTGATATTTGCATTTTTATAGCGCATGTCCATGCTCTACCGCATGCTATAATATGCGGTTTACATCTATTATTACCCCAGCAGACCACAGAACACCAAGAAACATTACCGACTTCCTTTTATAATAATCACCCATTGCAGGCAAACCTGCATGATTCTAAAGGCATTTTTATCTAATAAAAAGACAATATCTCACTGTGCCTTCAGGGGAAGCTATCCAGGTGGTAGGTAAGACACATTAAGCGTATTGATAAATTTGGGCTGGGAGGGGAGTTAGAGTCCTTGAAGCTGTTTACTTTTTTTTTTTTTTTTGGTAAGTGTTTTACGGCGCTCGCAAATGCATAAAGGTCATATGAGCGCGCGGGACACGCCTAATATGTTCAGTTGGTACGAAATTTTGAATTTTGCCCAGGTGGCTGCCGAAGCCTACTCTTATCGATTTTGGACCACCAAGGGAACTTAAACGTGTGCAACTTGCACACGGGCCCTCCGAGATTTTTCGCCCTTGTCCGAGAAGACTAGGTGTAGATCTTTCCAACCAAAAGATCAGGGGTGTGGCTGAAAGATAGCAGTAAGAAGGAGCCAAGGAGTAGCGGTAGAAAAGCTGCAGAAAGAGTCAGGATCCCAGAGGAGGGGGCAAAGGAGGTGAGGGGGCGGGGGCAGAAAGAGGAAACGGAAGCAGACGACAGAACATTGTTAGAGAGCAGGAAAGGAGGTGAAAGGAGACAATTTTAGAAAAGGAAATTTTTCGGTCGCTACCCAGATTCGAACCCGGGACCTCTGAATGAGAGGCCAACAACTTAACCTCTAGGCCACGAGAGCCCCCCAACCTGCTTACGTTTCGTGTGCATACAGAGGAGTGGGTTTGTGTTTATACCCTTGTGTTGTTGTTTTTTCCCCCATTAAAATAAACAAAAAAGGGAGAGCAACAACAACAACAACAACAACAACAACAAAAACAAAAACAACAACAACAGCAACAACAACAACAAAAACAATCCCCAAACTCCTCCCACAAAAATAAAATTCAGACCAATTTATAGCTTCTGTTCTGTTTGCTGTTTCTTAGGTTGAATTAAGAATGCTAGGTCTATCTCCTATAGTTCCTAGGCAGTTTACCTTTTTAGCTTTGTCCTGTGTCTACTTTTTCTTGTTGAATTAAGGCTTCACTGGGACCGAAGGCAGTATCTTTGGTTAGGTGGACCTGGCAATCGAGCCTGTCATGCGAGACAAGTCAATTATTTACCCGATGAAGTGCTCGATAAACTGCTTGATCGACCTTCAACGGGGTTCAGAGTTCACGTCTGGGTCATTAGGATGGAGACAGTCGGCTGTATGTATATATATATATATATATATATATATATATATATATATATATATATATATATATATATGTGTGTGTGTGTGTGTGTGTGTGTGTGTGTGTGTGTGTGTGTGTGTGTGTGTGTGTGTGTGTGTGTGTGTGTGTGTGTTTCAGTTTGCGAATTAGGGTTGGTGTTTGTGTTTGTCTAAAATTGGGGGGGGGGGGGGGGGGAGGGTGGAGGGGCTCCAAAAAAAACCCCTTTTAAAAGAATCACTCTTTTTTCAACAGAGGCTTTTAAAAAGACATTTCATATACATTATTACGATAGGGCAGGAAAGCATCATACCTCGTTTGATTTCCGAGCACTCCACGTTTCTCTTTATGAAGTTGACCGACAGCTTTGAAGACGCGTGGAACAAGGGTAGCAGCCATTCATTTCAGTAAACAAGGGTGGTGGCAGAGAAAGAGAAGGGGTGTGGTATTACTTGTTAGGGTATTTCTAACTTGTTTGAATTCAATTGTAAAAAAAACAACAACAAAAAACCAACAACAAACAAAAACATTAATGATGTGGTGGCAGCTTAACAGAAGCGTGTTACAAATTTTAAACGCTTGATTTCCCCTTCTACTAAATTTCAATCTTACTAAGCTTAGCTTCAGCCTGCTAGTAACATGTACAACTTCACCCTTTAAATATTAGATGCTTGGTTATTTGTAGGAATGAAACAACTAAGACTAAAGCGCGTGTCAGTTTTTTTCCTGTGTGGTGAAATGTCGCTCCTATTGTGGCAATGCACTTTTTGTCAATATTCTGTTTCAGCAGACCATTTATACAAACGCTAAAATCTCTAATCTTTATTCTTTGCGCCTATCCTAAAAGTGGATTATATCCGATTTTAAGCATATCTCCCCCTCCCCGCCCCCCCCCCCACACCTCACCAGAATCCAGACCTTCTCAAGACATGTAAGATCACCCCTTCAGCCCCCCCCCCCCCGCCTGTGTTGCATTTTATTTTCAATCAATAAACCTGTCATTGGACAACAAATCTTTAAAAATGAGTCCAAGTATTTCTTTAGAAAACTCATTTCCTAGTTTGCTTTGTTAAGATGATAAAGTTTCACATTATAAAAGCAGGTTAGATTAAAAACCGTACACAAAAAAGCGGCTCGATACAAACCCATAACAAAAAGCACAAAAAGGGGGACAAATAAGGGGATTTGGTAGAAAAGACAATGAAAATGTTTCAAAGGAGATTTAAAAAAAAAACAACCTCGTGTAAATGAAAGTGTTTAAACAAAAACTTTTGATAGTTAATAGTACAGTCAGTGATAATGACGCCGAGCGGCGACTGAATGGGGAAATTATATATTATATAAAATAAATAAATAAAAAGACCGCTTCCGCGGTGAGCAGATTCTTTCACCGCTCTCTTTGTACTCATCAGTAATAAAAACAACAACACACAAACAAACCAACAGCGTCATTGTATAGTGTCCAACTAACGTTTACCCTTCGGTGAGCCGATGAGCAGATTCTTTCACTGCTCTCTTTTCGTTCACAAGTAACAAAAAACGTTATTTTCACCTCTAAAACTATCTTACAAACTCTGGAATCGAACTCACGTCCTTTGCTTGTTACGGGAAGAACATTACATCACCGACACAATGTTTCCCTGCCCTGATTGCTTGTGCCATACTGTTGTCAACCCTGAAGACAGAATGTATCCGCTCTCAAATAAATCTCCTCTCAGGAAATTCTACACTCTCGACAATGATAAGAGCCACCTCTCCGAAGTTGTTTACAGGCGCTCAAGTGGAGAGTTCGGATCACCTTGTTCACACCATGTTTATTTGTCGTCGCCAAAGACTGGGAGTGTGAAGACGCAGATTTAGCGGATCTTGTAAACTCGTAAAACGTTTAAATTGCCTTGTTGAATATTGTAGGATTAAACTGACCTAACGGAGAAATCAAGGCAGGTGCTGTTACGTGTTAAGCCCTTCAGAGAGAGAGAGAGAGAGAGAGAGAGAGAGAGAGAGAGAGAGAGAGAGAGAGAGAGAGAGAGAGAGAGAGAGAGAGAGAGAGAGAGACAGAGAGAGAGAGAAAGAGAGAGAGAGAGAGAGAGAGAAAGAGAGAGAGAAAGAGAGAGAGTGTGTGTGTATGTGTGTGTGTGTGTGTGTGTGTGTGTGTGTGTGTGTGTGTGTGTGTGTGTGTGTGTGAGAGAGAGAGAGAGAGAGAGAGAGAGAGTAAAAATATGGTTTCAAGGTTTGTATGTTTCCGTTTCCGTGTCAGTGTCACACTATCTCCCCCCCCCCCCACGAAAAAACAAAACAAAACAAATACAATACAACTCTTAGTCTGTTATCGCCACCCTTTATAGCACTGGGTGTTTGTGGACTTTGATAACATTACATTAGTTGTAATGACTATGGTCCGCTTCCTTTTTTGGCATTCACATTAATCTAGACTTTGGTTTTTCCTTTTGGTGTTTACTTATCAATCGTAAACAGGATTCGATATATTTCGATGAAATAACTAAGGTGATCCATAATTAAATATTTGATCCGTATTATACCCCTGGGTCATACTTGCGAAGAAAAAAATGCAGTGACTTTCATCTCGATGATTAGCAAGTCTGTACAGCATGTAAAGAAAGGCATACAGACACCATCTTTTTTGAAATATAGAAAAGTAACACGTAGACCATTAGATAGAAAGACAATTGTGACAGCCAGACATATGCACATACACACACATACAGATATTACAGTATATACACACATGCGCACATGAATACGCACACACGCACACATGCATATTTTAGTATATATTGTGCGTGATATTTATCGGGAGATCAATGGACCTGTCTATGCAGACGTCTGTAAAAGAGATAACTAGCATAATTTATGGGTAGACATGGGCGTAGACAACAGAAACTGTATTAGAAAAAGATAGACAGACAAACACATGTACTTATTGACTTGGAAGGAATTAACAAGACAGATAGACAAAAGGACAAGTATTTTTAGAAAATATAACATTTTTGCTTACGATAGCACACTGGGTATGAACACACCACAAGCACAGCAGACAGCCGTCTCAGAGCGCTAATTCCTCACAACGGGGAATCACACACTGATATTCTATGTGCACGCAGTCGGCGACAGTATTAAATATCTTTTTCTGAAGTCTGAAGTAAACGGGTACTGCCCGTTCTACCATTCCTGCATAGAGACGACGTTCTGTATCATAAATGCAAACACGGTTCCTGCATAAAGAACGCTTTTTTTTTGTTACAGAGCTTTAGCCTATACAAAAGCATAATGGCTTCTTTTTTGCAACATAGAGTGTACACTTTTGTGATAAGACAAAATGATCAATGCTGGTCTTATCGATTTAAAGAAAATCATATCTATGAGATTACAACAAATCTTTTATACTGATACGCTTTACTGAGCAAGCTTTTCCAATATGAAAAAATCAACTTGTTTACACGAGAGTCCTATTTAGAAGACTATTCAAAGGAAACAAATGTGCGGTGTGTCTCGAGGGAGACCGAGACCTCTTCGAGTCTGCGTGGTATCACGCATTACATGATTGCCATGAAAGAGCAGTTGCTCGTTTTAAGCCCTCCTAGATGAAGGAGTATTTTTTAAGAGTTCATTAATGAGTGTGCACACGGAACGCCTTTGTCGGAGTCGAACAAACGTACGGCTGTGGAGTAAAACATTTACACTGGTCGAAATGGAATCCACGAACAGCTGAAAATTATCAATGAGCCTGTGAGCGAGTGGTCGTTGAGTACAGAAGGGACGTTTATGGATGAAGGGTAAGCCACACTGGAAAAGTTTTTGGTGTCTTTTAGGGGGTTGATATTCACCCCTCTTAGAGCGGCTGAACGTTGTGGAAAAGCAAGGTCGATTACCAGTGCTGCCCATTCTTGTCTCGTATTTGCAAAACGGCCTTTATGAAAGGTGTGGATACGAAGCAAAGCAATGAGGTTAATCTTACTAAAACCGAACAAGAAACAAAAGAGATAAGAGCAAAACAAAACAAAACAACCCCAAAACACACGCAGCTCAAAGATAACTTTTAAATTAATGAACGTTGACTACGGAATATTGTGCGTAGACTAGAGAAAGAAAATTTAACTTGTGATGCACTGCTTCAACCCCGTTTGTCTAAGATACAATCTGTAGATTGAATTATTACAAAAGTTTATGAAATATTAAGTATTGTCAAATAGCCGCGCCCTGAAAAAGGAAGTAGTACGAAATTACCACAATGATCAAAGCATAACAGAGGCCGTCTGGAAAAGAAAAGGGCGAGGTGTGCGCTATAAGATGGGCCACCTCTTCATGTGAGAAACTACCACCCCCCCCCCCCCCCAAACAAAAAAAAAAACCCCAAAAAAACAACAACAACAACAAAAAACCCATTCTTGACAGCGCCGCAGCCAACATCCATATAATATTACGCGTAGACTGGGAAGGATGTTTTTTATACAGGAGTGAAAGGAGGAGACAAGTTCAGCTTACCTCCTTCTCCCCTCACTGTGTTTCAAACGACGCCATTGCTCGGTTTTATACATCGATACGTAACATCGAGGGCACACTCTATAAGCCAACCTGCCCCCTTTTCCTAACATCTAAACGTCCCAAAGTGGAGTGCTTTATATCGATTTCCTATCGCATATCTGAAAATCAATCCTCAATAATTGCTAGTATCGATCTCTCGGGCTGTAATAATGAGCACAATTGCCCCGTCTTTGTAGAGAGGGTTGTTTTAGAGACAAAGGTTATCCGGTACGGAGTAAGTGGCAGCCATGGAGAACGGAAGAAAGTCAGAGAAGCAAATTATCATAAGTTCGATCGAGGAAAGAGTAGGAGGTATAACGTTTAAGTTTGGTTGTACTTTAACATTTGAAACTATCCAAATGTTTTAAAAGTAGTTGGTTTGTATGTATGTATGTATGTATGTATGTATGTATGTGTGTATGTATGTATGTATGTATGTGTGTGTGTGTGTGTGTGTGTGTGTGTGTGTGTGTGTGTGTGTGTGTGTGCATTTATATTTGTGCGTGTGTGTATGTCTGTGTATTTGTATGTATGCAGGCTTGTAAATGATTAAAGTAGGGACAAAGGGAGTGAGAAAGAGTGAGCAAGAGCGGCTTCGTCAAGGCCTTTTCCCTTTCTATGCAGGATGTCGCTGTGTTTCGGTTATACCCCCTTCTTCACCCCCCCTCCAGCATCTGCTGATACCAATACACCATCCAGCAATACAGTCTCCCGCTCGACTTTATCCATTTACCTTTATTTCCTTCTGTTGTGTCCCCGACCCAAGTGGCCAACTTACCGTGATGTGTTCATTTTCCAGCTAGTCACCTTTTCCCCTTTGCGTGTCGTGTGTGTTAACTAAGCACACTACCAACACAGACAGGTAATTTTGAGGAACTTCATTTCTCCAAAGAGAGAAAACAAAGACGATATGACAAGGCAAACTTCACAATTTAGATTTTTATTTATATTTATTTTTAAAAAGTATCGACAACAACAACAACAGTAACAACAACAACAACAACAACAACAACAACAACAACAACAACAACAACAACAACAACAACAACAACAACAACAACAACAATTTATATCCAATCAGTTCAAGAACTTCATATCAAGTTCCAAATTAGCCTTTCTTTTGAGCTCTCTACTAGATAAATGATGTTCAGTTGGAACACCTCTCACCCCTCTCCACGCCAACAAAACACCAGGTTAGAGGCAGCAAAAGACAGAAAATTTGGACTCTATGCTTTGTTATATAATATTTAAAAAACTGTGCTCTCATGGGTAATTCTGGGTCACTATGGAGAGCACCATTCATCCCAATACCTCATTATGGGATCAGAAGAAGGACAAAGAGGGAAAGGTTGCGCAAGAACTCAACTGTAACAGGACTGGTGTTTTGCCCTCCATCTGGGCACCTACTGTGCATGTCAGCGCAGCGAAGTTCTTTTTATAGAGCAGAGAGCAACTACGATGACAGTTCACAGTCAACGATATCATAAACTCAAGTCTGTTTTTCAACTCCAAACTTTGCTTCGCGTGGTAGATTAGTAGGTAATCAACGAATACAAAGCGGCCAGTTGGAATAAATAAATGTGTACAAAGAACATGGAAAAAATAAAAATAAAAAACAAATTGTTTAATTCAAAATACTTTTATTGTGCGTTGCATACACAGAGTAGAGGATAGTTTTGATTGTACACAGAAATAAAGACATTAGTCAGGTGTACATGAACCTGTCAGGAACCGTCCTATAAACGGAATGTCGTGTTATCATCACAAGACTTGGGGAAGTTGTTTTCCTTTGAAATAACAGTTACATAATATTATCATAGGATTTCGAAACATAGAAAGCAGCGAAACATAGATGGTATCAGACACTTATCATACGTTTGCACACCAGCCTGATTTACAGACTTGCACTCCCATTCACGGTTTCACCATTTACTGCTATACATAGCTTGCATTCACTTGTCAATCACAAAAGCAACAGAAAACATAAAAACCATTAAAGTAAAAATAAAACAATCTGTTTCTACTAAATCACAAATCAGACATACATGAATCAAATCCCCTTAAACCTAGTAACAGAAACAAATGGACTCACCAATGAGAAACGCAAGAAGAGAATTATTACTTTAAAAAGAATTTAAAAAAAGAATAGGCCTACACCAGTAGCAACAGAAGTGAAACATAAAGCTAAAACATTCTTCACAAGAAAAAAAAACAACAACAACCGTAGACGCTGTAACATGAAAAGAAAAATAATGAGATTGCCTATCAACTGTCCTTACATTCACCTGAAAAAAAAATGTCATCAAGGTAGAATTTGATAACATCATACAACACAACCACATGTTTTCCCAAAGGAATGACATATTATTCAAAATGCAAAATAAACAACAACAGAAAAAATCCTCACAACAAAACACACTACAGTATCTCTCTTTACTGTCAGATCATCAACATTCGTTCTCACCAATATTTACAATTAAAAAAGACGGGAAAACAAACCAAACAAATCACAAATGCGTAGCCATGACAAAATTAAATAGAATGGAAAAGTTAAGTACATCTGACATCAACAAAGTTGAGTGTTAATATCAAAAGATAAAACCGATAGTAAACAGTTCAATCGAGACATTTGAGAGAGGAGCACCAATGAAAAATTAGACAGAAGCGACCAAAATAGAGAGCTTCAAGTCCCTTGATACAGAGTAGAAGGGATAAGTGAGTATGTAGAACATTGATGGATAAAAAGAAAAAGTAGGATAATCTTTTACATCGATTTTTCGACACATCTTAGACAAAGATGGCGGTCGATGAAAAACTGAGTATGTAGAAGTTAGTGTATACAAATTAACGCAGAGAATATTATTTTCCTTCAACGGTTAACTTCTTTTGTAACGTCGCAACTTTGATAACAAAGCTCAACATTCAGATAGCAGATTCTTTTTTGTGCGTTGAAGTAACAAAGGGAATAAAATAAATACACATTTTCTTCATGATAGTTATATTTCTAATTCAATTTGTCAGAAGCTGCATTCCTAAAGGACCCCCAGTTCCATTATATATTGAATATCATAACTAGTAAAGCTCTCTCGTCTTTTTTGAGCGTTTATTGCGTTTGATAAATATAGTTTTGAAACCAAGCTGCTTGATAGCATTTCAAATCGAAGAACCCTCTTTTCAACGCGCAATCATTCTAATAAAACATGGCACGCTGCTGTGTCAGAAATAGAAATTCCGTTAATCCATAGAACAATCATACAAATACTACTACATGTAGTGCGAGTCTGCACCGGAAAATCACCTCTCTCTCTCTCTCTCTCTCTCTCTCTCTCTCTCTCTCTCTCTCTCTCTCTCTCTCTCTCTGTCTCTCTCTCACTGTCGCTCCCAAACACAGACATTCTAGAAATACATTTCTCATCCTCGTCTTGTCCTACATGGTTCATTCTCTCTTATCACACATTCATTGTTTCTCGTATTTCTGACAAACTGTTTACTCGTCTTACAGCTCCTTCACATAATCATCCACACTTTTTTCTTTCACACTTCAGTCTTTGCAATTTTCAATTCAAACCAGCAGTACGACATGAAATTACAAAAGTCAACAGATATTGCAGGCACAAAAACTCCAAAAGGTACGCCATAAACAAAAAAGCAAACTTTGAAGGCTTACTTTTTTGCTTTAAATTGAAGACTGTTTCTTCAACAGATGTTCACTTTTGGCAACATAGAAAAAAAATATTCATAGCATAATGGGTGTCTATCAAAGGTTCAATATTCATCAGAAACATTTTAAACAAGATATTTGGTAACCATTCCTCACAGGTTTTGTAACTTAGATCCTGCGAGAACAACACTGGATTTCAGTATCCACTTGTGGTTTAGGCAGTTAGACCAAACAGTAACAGGCGACACTAGAGACTTTTCATCCAATCTCATATTAAGTGAAATTACAACTCATTCGGTTGTTTTCTCATGTCGCGGGAGGCTTTTTTTCAGACGATTGCTGCAGAAAGAAAACTACTCAAATGAGTCAAATTAACGTTTTGCTTTGAACCTTTTTATGAATTCCCCGTACTGTCAATCGCATCGACGTTATTATTGCACCTACTTGAAATCCAGGGACCGAGAGTCCAAACCTCAGTTTTGCCCAATGGGTAAAACATGACTCAGATGGAGAATTCTTGAAATGAACAAGGGATGCAATTTATGGCAATCGTGTTTTATGAAGCTACTGGGCATCTGAGAGCAGATTACTGATGACATTTAACATCATGTTCATACTGTGGGTGCAGTTGCGATAAGTATTTTTGTTTGCCAATGTGCAGCCTTTATGGAAAAAATAAAATATCAAAATTTAAATAAAATTTCTTGAACAGGCATCTGAGCTTTTGCTTGTGCAACTGGGGGTCAAGTGAAGGCTAAATCACCCTAATTGTTTAACTGGTCATCTGTTGAAATTGTTGAATCTGGCAACGACTTCTTCCATTGATTCCCGCTTTCTAGGTCTTCTGGTCTCGCGCAGAGATCTACTGACAAAGGGGTCGAAGTCTGGGTCTGCACCAGTCTCTGCAGAATGGTTACGCAACATTCTCTTGTATCTTTTCTCGAACTGGCGCCTCAAGGTATTATTTTTATCCACCATGGTAGATTTGCTCCGGCCTAGCTTAGAGCTCTTTCCTTTCTTTTTGGGTTGCGGGGTTTTCTCATCATCGTCTCCCTTTAGGGCCTCATCAGCTGACTGTGAACCTGAAGGTTTGGGTGTCGAAGCATTATCTCCCGTGAACGCAGGGTTGTCCAGCATGAGAGAGTACGGCGACTCGCTGACCGGCTGTATGGGTACGTCACTATCCTCCATGCCAAGAGATCTGGATGACATGCAGTTTATGGACGACGAATGCATATTGCTCGGCATATTGCTCGTGGGTCTGCTTTCTGACGAGCTCATGTACTCGTAATCTGGATCTGTAAGATCCTCGTCAAAACCTGTGAGCTTTTGCATCCTCATAGCATACTCTACGATATCTCTGATCGCCTGCTTCTGGTTGAACTTCTTCTTATCCACCCTGAGCTCAGTGGATGCTAAGATATGCAGCAGAGTTCCGTATCTGTGCCTCAACATAGCAGCAAACTGCAGCAAGAGGATGAAGGCAAAGACACTCAAGAAAATCAGACCCAAAGGCTCAACAGACAGTTCACCTCCGCCGAATTTGGGAATCTTGAGACTGATCCTGTCTTTGACTCTTGTCAACATGAAGATAATTACCATCCAGAAAGCATTCATCATGAAAAAGGCAAAGGCGACGTTGTTTCTCATAGATTTCAAGTCCACGGTGATTTTAGCCTCAACTGCTTTGTCTGGGTTGATCGGGTGCAGATATTTAGCGATACATCTTTGCCAGAACTCAATCTCTCTCATGGGTAGGTACTGCACACCGCCAGTCTTCAAGCAAGAGTCGTCCAACCATTTGGGGTTAATCAGCTCATCTCTATCTTCTTCAAGGTACATCTCTTCCTCTGACAAACTCTCTGACATTGAAGAGCTGGCATCTCCATTGTCTGCTTCCTCTTCAATGTCTTTGATGTGGGACTTGGAGGATTTCTTAGAGTGCCTGGACCTGGATGACGATCTCTTTCTGTTGTGAACAAATGCTGAGGTCCCTCCTGTGGTGACAGTTCTCATCCCAGCTTCAACTTTGTCCAGCTTCTCAATGACCTGCCTAAGAATCTCTGTGTTGATATCTTGACCTCCAGATCCACAAAAACGCCTGATACTCCGGAAGAACCGCCCACAACAAGCGCTCTCTTCTTCTTGTCTGTGTATCCAAGCATAAAAACCTCCGCTGTTTTTAGGCGTCAGTCTCTGCCGTAGCTGGGCCTTTCTCTCGAGAGCAGACGTTTCTCTGGTTCCCCACGACACGACGTTCAGGTTACACATAGCGTAGATCATCAGCAACACATAAGCAGAGGGTAAGGCCAACATGTACAACGCTCCGGGTAACAGACACAAAAACTCCTGAGGATGGAAAGCGGCAGACGTGATGAAAATCGCAATCAGCATGAACAAGAAAATGGCGTTGGGACTGACAATGGAGTCCTCAGCCACCTGAACAACTGTTCCGACCACCACGGCCATCATGAGTAGTGAGTAAATCGCACTCAGCACGGCTGCTATGTTCAGTTGAGTCTCCGACTTGGTGATGAAGCACAGGATGAGGTACAGAGCGACGGGTCCAACAACCAGCATATATGACTGCCACAGACTGATGCTCAACACTGGGTTGATGGCACCAGCCATCATAAGCATGATTGTCGCCGGGCCCAGAACTGTAGAGAGCATCAGGAGACCCTGGAAGAAAATTTAAAAAAAAGAGGTAAGTAAAATTAGATCTTAATCCTTACGGGATGACCATAGTTTTTAGTAAACATTTTTATATCTTGGTCTATTTTCCACCAAGAGTTTTCCTTCTCAATGCTATCTATGTCCCCACACAGCTTATCTCCTCGTACTATTTTCTACCCTAATCTCGAGAGGATGTAGTCTGAAGGAAGGCTGACAATGTGACAAGGAGTCTAACCTACATCAGTCTTTTTGTACTGGACTAAATGTCTAGACAACAGTTGTTTGTCCATGTAAGAGAAACCAGATTAAAGTAATAGTGTTCTTATTCTGTGAAAAATCAGTTTATCAAGCCCTACGCCCTCCTTTTTACTTGCATGTTTTCTGTAATTTACTGGTATGACTTCATACTTGCGATTGCTCATGCCTTTGAATGTTCTGATACAAACAATTAAAGCAAATTTTATTGTCTAGTACACACCTGATATGTTATTTAGACCTGCAACATAACACCATTGAATAACATTACCTTTGTTAAGGAATTTTGTAAGCAGAATGGAATAGAATAGATATACTTCTTTGGATGTATAGATACAAAGAGACGCAAAAATAGACAGGCATACATTGAGAGAAAAATAGAGATGAGAGACACAGAGAGAGAGAGGGGGAAAAAGAGAAAGAAAAAGAGAGAGAGAGAGAGAGAGAGAGAGAGAGAGAGAGAGAGAGAGTAAACAAACCTGGTATGCCATGTACAGGTAAGAGATGTTATCGTTGGCTCGCACAGTTGGTCGGAAAGATTGTAGCAGGTCCATGATATTGGCCAAGGTAGAGGGAATCCAGCGACGTCTTTGGTTGAAGAACTCTTTGAAGGCTTCGGGGCAATGAGTCAAGGCGTCGGACGCAGCACAATATTCCACTTTGTATCCTTGTTGAAGAAGTAGGGTGGACAGCCAACGGTCTTCGCCTGGAGAAAGAGAGAAAGACCGACTGGTGGTTAAGACGGTGTGAGAATAAGCAAACAAGACCATTCATATTGGATCAAACATTTATACTTACACTCTACATACCTCAACATATCTACACATTCACTCCCAAACACACATAGGCATACACTGTAATCTCCAAACACAAGTAGTCTTCTACACATCAAAGTGAACAGTATCCATATTGTACATTAGTGAGTATGGTGTAAGGCATGGGCTCTCGGACTTGCACTCAAAAGACATGGGTTGACTCTTCTGAGGAGAAAATACTCCACAAAGCATCTCCATCAATCTACTCGGGTATAATCCTCACAGCTAGGATTGACCCTAACAGGCAAGACCGAAGCAGCAAGCCTCTGTAATAGATCTAAATAGCACGGAGATATAGGTAATGTAAAACTTAGAAAGTGGTCACAAGCCATTTATAGTTTCTTACCCTGATCGTACTGCAAGTAGTGTCGAGCCTCAGATGAGCGGGTAGCATAGGTCCTCATCACATTGTCGTCCATCAGAGCGGATCCACGGAACAAACTGAAACACCCGGGGCTACACAAGACACAGCCCAACATGTGCTCAGCAGCCTTCTGCAGCCAATGACCGATAGCGTACTCGAACATCTGGTACCACACCATAGGGCCTGAACGGAAACAAAAGAGAATGGTTAAAGAATGGCAAATGCAGATGGTGGTACACTGTCTGTTTTTTTATGAGTTGAATTTGTTTCGGCAAAACATTACTCGTCAATGCTCTTGCAATAAAAAAGCAAGTAGTGATTTGTACCTACCACTACAGCACATATTTACGTCCCTTTTATATCCCTAGCGTGTTCTGATTTCACAGCTTTACATCTTATTAAAATGTATTGCAAGAATTCACCCAAATCCCCATCTTTTTAACTCATTTATTTCAGGGGTGTCATGTTCAAATAAAAATGTCTTCATAGTGTAAGCAAAAGTACGCACTTTCTGTGTGAAACAACTTTCAGTTGGGTGTACACCTTGGGCCAAAATGGAAAGTGACCTATAATACAGTCAAGATATTTGATTCCATGCAACCTATAACATCCCGGCATACCTGATCCGGTTGGGTGAATTCTTCCACAAGCAGCTCCCACTTTCTTGTTCTTCCTCATTCTGTCCACCAGGAGTTGCACCGCATGAGGTTTGAAGTTCACATCTCCGTCCAAAGCCAGGATATACGTATTTTCAGCCTGGAGAACAAAAAGACAATTAATTGATGGATTCCGTTTGAAAAAAGGAGGATAAGGTGATACATGCGTTGGAGTGCACTCGCACGCATTCGCCCCTACCCACACAGATCTATCTATCTATCTACCTATCTATCTATCTATCTACCTATCTATCTATCTATCTATCTACCTATCTACCTATCTATCTATCTATCTACCTAC